AACAGCCTTAGTGGTGGAAGGCAGACTTGACCTGGAAATAGCTGGCAGGAAAACAAGGATTTGATGGGATGCACTACTGTTAGCGCAAAGTGTAAGCAACTAATTCAGTAGACTATGACTTATTTCTCCAGGGTGTGTAAAGATGCCTTAAGTGTAAACACTAAGATTTTGCTGAGTTACTACTATTGATCAAAACATTTAATAATGTATTATGCTTTTAAATATGCAGAAACAAAATAAATTATTCTTTTGCAGGGCTTCTTAAACTTCTCTTGCTACAAAAGTTCTTATGCTCATTTTGGAGGGTTACAAAAGCTCTGGTAAAAGGTTACAGTTCAACCCTGACTGTTGCTTTTCAGGCAAAGTACAAGATAAAGATGACATGAGTGGCTAGACAAAGGAAAGCTTTACAGCCTTCCTTCCCTCCAGCCCTGCAAAAGCTGCTCTGGGCTGGGGAGTGAGATTTCCTGCTCTCTGTGTGATTTGGATAAATAGGAACTCTAGCGAAACTGTTTTCTCTACTTCCTAATTAACTTTCCTGTTTATACAGCTTTCATATATTCAGGCGGGAGTTGAATATTCATCTTTGTGCTGCAGAAATACGAAGGAAATGGTGGAATAATAGAACTTTTAAACCTTCCATTTGGTTCTAATCCACAGGCTGTCTCGCCTGGCTTACAGAGGAGCTTAGTTTTCAAGTTTCAATTACATTGACCCTCAATCATACGAATTAAATGAAACTTTGAGTTGAGTTACTTCACCATGTTGAAGTGATGATGTCATTCAGGAACTCTGGAGTGGACTCTGACCTTCACTGTGGAGCTTGAGCTTCTTGTGCTAAGACATGTGACTTAGTTACGTTAGCACTGAACTTTTGGGTAAAAAATTGCATTCAGCAGAGCTTCCTGAGAAGAGCTGAACTGCTTAGACCCTTCCCAGAGCTGAGTGAGGAAGTCAGACTTAATACAGCAGAGTGCTAAATGGAGGTAGATGAATTTTTGTTCTGTGGTTCAAAGCTTGTTTTAATGGTCTTAAATAGGTGTTTTGTAAAGTCGATTTCCAGCAAGGATTTTGCTTCCAGCACAGAGCTGCATCATGAAATACAGGGTGTCTTCAAGAGATGATTCAAACTTCATGTTACATTTAAAATTGGTTTACAGGAAATCCATCCTTTGAATGTTACACATCTTGGCTGTATGCGCTTCTACTGTCTTGAGCTTGTATTTTCAGCTGGGCTCAGTCTTTTCTTTTTAAACTGACGTCTGAGAGCTTCTAGCAGTAGAAGGGTGAATCATCACTATCAGCATGTAACATCCTCATCTATGCCTCGCTTTAAAGCTTTCAGGCTCCTTTTTTATGCTTTATATAAGCAGAATAAATGTTCTCTTGGTGATCTCAAACTGTAAACTGTGTAGTAGTAGATTTAGATGGGGGAAATTTGTGGTGGGGTGAATCCCATCCCAAGGGCACGGGGAGTGTCTGTGAGGGCTGGAATGGAGAGGTAGTTCCTCCAGTTGCTAAACAGGAAGCTCCTGGTGTTACAAATCGCTTCTAAGCATCCAAACAGAAGTGTTTGCAGTGAAGGAAACAGCATTAATTTCTAAACCAGTATCTTTTAATGTGGCTATTTTTCCATAGTTTCAGTAAATGTGGATTTGCTTCCTAGAGATCTCCTTCCAGTGGTAATGAAAATCATACTGCCTGTATTTATGTTGTGTTCACATGCTGTTTCCTCAGGGATTGAGAGGAAGGAAGCTGTTTTGAGTAGGAGAGAATCCAAGCTATATTCCAAGTTTCCTTCCCAAAAGAAGGACCAGCTATTGGTGTGATAAATAGCAAAGAGATGAGCACACATTTAAATTTAGGCTTTTTTAACTGCAGGTCGATTAAAAAGTGTTTTCTGGTGGCGCTTTAGACTGTGGATAAATTATCTTGTAACAGTGGGGGACAAAGTACCCGAAGCAGTCAGTTGCATTGAAAGCGAACCGTGTATTCTGGAAAGAAAGGTTTGAGGATGGCATTTAATACTAAAACTTCTGAAAGAATATCTGCAAGATTTAAAGCACTCAGAATCACATTTTATGAGCACTTTATTAGTTTTGGTGTATCTGTTCATCTTTGTATTGCCTCAATGTGAGGAAAAAATGTGTATGGTGGTGTCTGGGATGTCTGTAAAGGATGTGTATTACTTGATATTTTTGTTGGTGGTTTCTTTAGTCAGCCCACAGCCATTGTTAACTCATGCGTGATACTGTGATCTTTTTCCTCTAGACTTCACTGGCCAGTGAGAACCTATCTCAAGCATGGGAAATATTTTTGCTAACCTCTTCAAAGGCCTTTTTGGCAAAAAAGAAATGCGTATTTTAATGGTTGGTCTGGATGCTGCAGGAAAGACTACTATTTTGTACAAACTTAAACTTGGTGAAATAGTAACAACTATTCCTACTATAGGTAAGTTGTGGGTTGTTTGTGAGTTTTTTTCTTTTTGTTGTTTGTTGGGTTTGGGTTGTTGGGTTTTGGTTTTTTTTTTTTTCTCCTGATATTTTGGGGTGGGTTTTTTTTTCTGTTTTGTTTTGTTGTTGGTTGGTTGGTTTGGGGGTTTTTTAACATCTATGTAACTGCTTGCTTTGAGACTTGGGTCTTGCTGTTTGCAGCAGTATCTTTTCTCAGTTACCACTCTGCTGATTTAAGTAAGCTGGCTGTCAGAACAAACGCTTGCTAAAACCATGGTATGGTGATGGCATAGCCAGATGTTCTTGCATGGGAGGAGATCTACAAGGGCATGTAGTGGTAGGACAAGGGGGAATGGCTTTAAACCGACAGAGGGGAGATTTAGATGAGATCTGGGGAAGAAGCTCTTCCCTGTGAGGGTGGTGAGGCCCTGGTACAGGTTGCCCAGAGAAGCTGGGGCTGCCCCATCCCTGGCAGTGTTCAAGGCCAGGTTGGGCGGGGCTGAGGGGAAGGTGTCCCTGCCTATGGCAGGGGGTTGGAACTGGATGAGCGTTAAGGTCCCTTCCAACCCAAACCATTCTGTGATGATTTTTTGAGGGTGACTGCCTGATCAGAGACATACCTTATTTGTAGCCCTTAAAGCTCAGGGGGTTTTGATTAAGTGTAGCAATTCAAGCTGTTGATGTTTGTTTGATTGCAGTGGGGGTGAGAGGAGGAGCTTCAGAGAACCCACGTTTGTCTGCTTTGAGGTCCTCATTGTAGGATTTTGCTTATTTATAGTAGTTTTAAATTTCGATAACTTTTTAAACATTAACATTCTGAGCATGACTTGGTAAATGCAATAGGTCCAGGGCCAACTATGTTTAACTGAGATTTTTGCCACACTTTCTCTTTCAGGTTTCAATGTGGAAACAGTAGAATACAAGAACATTAGCTTCACAGTCTGGGACGTAGGTGGTCAGGATAAGATCAGACCACTCTGGCGCCATTATTTTCAGAACACACAAGGTGAGTCCAAATGCTTAAATCGCAGGTTTCCAGAATCCAGAAGCTTTTTTTAATGTCCTTACTAAGATAATTTTGCAAGGTACTTGGGGGAGGGGTGTTTGTGTGTGGAAATATTTATTACTATAAAAAGGGTGTGTTTGTATGCTGCTCTGGTTCTTCTGTTAAGCTAGTGTAGGTTCAAAGAGGGATGGGAGGAAATCTAGAAACCAGTCTTCTTTGTCCATCTGACTCAGAGCAAGTTCCAGATTCTGCTTTTCTTTTGTAAGCATCACAGCTCTCTGCCCTTGCTTCAAAGTCTTTACTCCAAGCTTTAACAACCCTGTGAACTGAGAGTTTGTCACTTCTGCTGCTGCTGTGCCTTTATAATGTGCATGCATTTGAGTCCTGTCACAGGATTTCAAGAGTTGCTACTCACTGGAAAATACCAAGTGGTCATGCAGATGAAGTGCACAAGTTCCAAAAACACAAATGCAAACTACCACTTGCTTTCACCAGCTTTCAGCAAGAACACATTCTCTCAGACATGAGATTACAGTAATAAGAAAACTGTATTTTTCTAGTAATGTGTTTTGCTCTGACCTCCAGAGGTATTTATCATTTGTAAATAACTTCTGGTATATGCTTTTTCTGATTGTTTGCTTATTTCTAGGTTTGATTTTTGTGGTTGACAGTAATGACAGAGAACGAGTGAATGAGGCCAGAGAAGAGCTTATGAGAATGTTGGCAGAAGATGAGCTTAGAGATGCTGTTTTATTAGTGTTTGCTAACAAACAGGTATGCCCAGAATGATGTCTTTCTGTAAGAACTCTTGAAAACGTACAGTATACCTGGGAGTGCTAGATCTTGAACATACGTATTTGGTGCTTCAGTGTAATGATAGATAAGCTCTCAGTGACTGTTCAGTTTTGTTGAATACAGCAAACCTGTAGATTGAATTACCCTGTTCACATCTTGAGGAGTATCTTTCTAAACAATCTTAGCTAATAGAAACTCCTGTATTTTCAGTGTTAGGGAAGCATTCTACTAGTTAATTTTTAAGGTTGGCTTGGCTCAAATACAACACCTGCCCAAGCTTCCTCCAAACAGAGAGGAAGGGCAGAGTGCCAGAACGTCTCTGAATGAGTCAGTTGGAGTATTGAGGGACACTGCTTGTGATGATGGAAGCACTCAGCTTTTAATCCATTTGTGTTGACCTGTGAGCTGAACACTTCAGGCCACAAAGTGAGCTGAGAGTTCTGCCCCTTACTCCTAGTAAGGGTGTTGGTAGCTTAAATTCAAATGTTGAGGGCCTTAAACAGGGCTAGTAAACTTACAGTAGGAACAGCATCCTGTTGGGATCAAGCGCACCATCAGCAAGTTTGCTGACAACACTGAGCTGTGTGGTACAGCCAATATGCTGGAGGAAAAAGGGTTGTCATCCAGAGGGACCTGGACATTCTGGAGAGGGGGGACAGTATGAAGCAGTACTAAGCCAAGTACTACTTACTACTTTATGTTAAGCTTGATCTTGAGTCATATTTGCAGTCACAAGAAAACATTTCCTGAGTGGAAAGTGAATGAAACTGGCCTTGAATTGTAAGCAGTTCAGGGTCAGCACTGAGGGGCCTGATGACTTGATCCAGATGTCAGCCATCTTGCTTCTGTTTTCTGAAGAGAAATACTCCATAATACGTGCTTTTGATAGTATCTTTCACCCTTCGACGCTTTTGTCAGTATAGGGGAAATAGGTCAAGTATAGAAGTAATCCACCAAGTTTTTCTGAAAGAAAAGTTCTAAGAGTTCTTAACTTCTTAAAACTGATGATCAAAAACGGCTGAGGGAGGCGGGCGTTTCTTCTCAGCGAGCAGGGGAGAAAATGACTCTTCTTCCTTCCTCCAGGACCTGCCAAATGCAATGAATGCAGCAGAAATCACAGACAAACTTGGACTGCATTCTCTTCGTCACAGGAACTGGTATATCCAGGCAACCTGTGCCACTAGTGGAGACGGTCTCTATGAAGGACTGGACTGGTTGTCCAATCAGCTCCGAAACCAGAAATGAAACCATAAACCTTCCTCTTCCCTCTTTTTCCACCCCTCCCTCTTATTTCCTCCTATTCGCCCTTCGCTTTACTCTAATGTGGCAAACTGTGCTACTTTGTGGTATTGAGTGCCGGAAGCTGTTTTCATTTCTTTTGTCACAGTATATATTGCATCATGCTGTAAATGTGGCAAATACAAGCCTGAAAACAGTTAGGTTTCTTATTTAATGTAAATAGTTTTTGTTTCCAATGAGGCAGTTTCTGGTACTCCTATGCAATATTACTCAGCTTTTTTATTGTAAAGAATCAACTCACTGTTTAGTACTTGGAAGGGATTTCAGTGGGTCAACACAAGGGTTGCCAGTGGTCCTCGTGCAGTAGAGCTGAATACTATCTCGGTTGGGTTGTGAGATCTGTGAGATCGATTTTGGCGGTTGGTTTTTAACCTGAATTCTGTATTTTTTTAAATAGTCAAGGAAAAGTAAAAACACTTCAACATACCAACGTTTGACGTAGCTTCTGCTGTTGTAGCTCTGAGTGGTGACTTTTGATTCTTTTGAGATGATGAAGCAATGATTGACATCCAATTGGCTTCATCTGGTTAAACAACAGATCATAACCAGTACATCTGGCTATTTCTGTAGCTCACAGTGTGTGCTCGTATTTGTTCATAGATTTATCAGACCTGGTTTAGATGAGCTTTTGCAGAGTCATGCTAAACATCTGACTTTCAGTTCAGGTGGGATTTATCACTTCCATTTAACTTGAAATAATTTCCAGAAGTCAACATTTTTAGCCTGTTGTATTTGTCAAGTGTTTTGTACTTTTCTTGTGTGTAAACCACTCCAGAAGGCAAACCTTTCCACAGAAAGCACAGCCTGTACTAGTCCTAAGCTCTAGAGGCAGAAAGTACTGTACTTAACATAAGAATTGCCATGAAAAACACCAAACATCTATGTATAGTGTCTAGGAAAAAAAAGCATGAGAGTTTGGAGAGTCATTCCACTCTAGAAGTATTCAATCCCATTTTGGAACAATCCCATATCTGTATATGTGTGAAAACCCTTGGCATCCCTCATACTGCAAGGTTCAGATTTGCCATCAGAAAAAAAAAGACCTCTTTACTTTTCTTTTGTATTTTGATAAACACTGAAGAAGCTGGAGCTGTTAAACTTTAACTCGAGGAACTATCAGAACTGGTTTATTTAGTGTTGTGGAAACCTTTATTGCTTTCAATACACACTTAGTAATCAACTGTTTTGTATACTTGTTTTCAGTTTTCATTTCGACAAACAAGCACTGTAATTAAAGCTATTAGAATAAAATCTCTTAACTATTTCATGTTTTTTATGCCTTGCTGTTCATTTGATCATCTTGGCAGAATCATAATGAAATACTTGTTGAATAAAAAGTTTCATGAAACTTGCACTGGTATCATGTTGTTTTGTATCATCTTTGGACAGTACCTGCTGCTGGATTTATGCTGACCCAACCAGCATTTTTCCACATCAGTTTGCATAAGAATTTCAGGACATCTCCAATGTTTCCCAAATAATCTGTTATTCCTAGTTCGACTTGTGGAGATGAAGAGGTGGGCAGCAGTTCTTTGGTCGTGATGGTTGGTTGACTGCTGAAATCCCTTCATCACCTCAGGGCATCTGCTGAGCTTCTGCAGCAGTCCCATCACTTCCCACAGCAGATTGTTCTTCCTGCTGAACTTAGGGATAGGATGTGTGAATTAGCAGGTTTTTTGTGGGGTAATACAAAGCCTACCTTTCTAAACACTGTTTTGTGGGTTTGGTTTGTTGTTTTTTTTTCACCTCTCGCAATCCCCTCTGGACCTGGAACAGACTTGTCCTCACTGAGCGCCCTGCAGTCCCTCTGTGACAGCCATGCTCAGGCTGCTGGCCAGTGCCTGGCTGTTTTCCTGGCCAGTTTGCAGCACATTCCCTATTTCACAGGCTGAGAACTTTAAGATGAAATGTGTATCGTGCAGGTTAGAGAGCAATCTGCCCCAAACCCTGGGGCTTTGGGTGGGTGGGTGGGTGTGTATCGGAGGAGACTGCAGTGTGGCTGGAGACAACAGGGCACTGCTGCTTCCACAGGCTGCTGACCTGGCATCGGCCTCCTCACTGTTAAGCAAAGGCTGCCTTTTGGATGATTGGTCTCTAGTTGACAGATTACTCTGTTACCAGGTTTTGTTTCCTCTCTGAATCCTTTAAGCAGCACCTGCCCTCAGCCTGAGTATGCTTTGCTCTGTGACTGACCTGTTGGGCAGAGGCTCACTGAGCATAAAGGGTGTTGTCTCTGCCCTGTCTTCAGTTGGGTGAGTGGCAGGTGGGAGGGTGGGTTGATTCAGGTTCCTCAACAAGCGTTGCCTGAGCCCCAGGTCTGTTCCTTGGGCTCGCTTCAGTAGTAAAGGGTAAATAATGCTGGGCAAACAACAGGATTACAAAACTCTGGTAGGTCAGGTTATTCTTGCCTTGAGTTTCAAGCTCTGAATCAGGATCTCTACATGCCTAATAGGGCAGGATGTCTGTTCCTGGTCTGGGAGGGAACTGAACTTGGAACAGAATGGTTTGGGTTGGAAAGGACCTTAAAGCTCAACCAGTTCCAACCCTCTGCCACAGGCAGGGACACCTTCCACTAGAGCAGGTTGCTCTAAGCCCCGTCCAACCTGGCCTTGAACACTGCCAGGGATGGGTCAACTCCTCTGAACTTGAAGGGCTGGCTCTTCTGCTGGCATCAATTTGTGTTCCTGAAATAAGCAGAGCCCCCTCTCCTTTTTCACATCTCCCACACCTAAAGAGGTTCATGTCCTGCTGTGACACCTCAGCCTCCTCTTAAGCAATGGCTTTCACCTGAGGCACTGTGGCATGTGTGACTCGACGCAGTTGTCCCGGCCATGCTGCTGATCCTGCTCCCCCATGTTCAGAATTTGCTGCTGGCCAGGGCCAGAAGGAGGAAAAGATGTGGAATGTGCTGGTGATCCCCCAGGATCAGCAAGCTGAGGGAGCCTGATGTGCCCTCTGCTCTGTCCTGGGCTAAGCCCAGCCCTGGGGTTTTAGCCACCCATCCAGGCAGGAGACAGCTCGTGCCCAGGGGAAGGGTGAGCACAGAACACTGCTTCTGGTGTGGTTCCTGCCCAGTCCAGCCAGGAAGGGGTGCAGCAGCTCGGCAGGGAGGTCAGTGGGATGCGCAGCCCTGGAGTGGGGATGGGGCTGGGCTCCTTCTCCCACACTCACCATTATTTTTATCTTACCCATATTTCTCAAACTATTTTTTGCAGATGTCACTTTTGAGTGTGAAACAGGCACCTCTTTCAGACAGGGCAAGGGGTAAGAGCTGCTGCCCCATTCCTCTGTGTGGGGCCAAAAGTGAAGACTGAAGGAGCGCATGCAACCTGGGTGACACAAACCTCTGCGTGCTCCCCTGGCTCACTGACGAGCTGGGAGGGACAGACCCAGAGCCCTCCCGGACTGCCCCCTCATTTATGGTGTGGGTAAAGCTCCTGCAACCCCAGGAATGGTTTAACTGGGCCTGTGAAAGCAACAGGCAGGGGGTAAAGCCTTGCAGAGGTTTCAAAGGGGTGAGAGTGGAGGAGACTGAGCTGTGAAATACCTGGCGATGGAGTTGGGGGAGGCATCGGCTCACAGCCTGTGGTAAATGGGTGCGAGTTCTCTGCAGGAGCAGGGAGCCAGAGGTGCAGCCTCCCAGGGAGGCAGGAGGAAGCTGGGCAGAGGGAGCACTCCGGGCCAGGCTGAACTGCTCCAGGATGGCCAAACCACAGCCCCACCAGCATCAGGCTTGGTAAAGCTGGGGAGACCTTAGAGCAGCTTCCAGTGCCCAATGGGGCTGACAAGAAAGCTGGAGAGGGGCTTTTGACAAGGGCCTGTAGGGTCAGGACAAGGGGGAATGGCTTTAAACTGACAGAGGGGAGATTTAGATTAGATATTAGGAAGTTCTTCCCTGTGAGGGTGGTGAGGCCCTGGAACAGGCTGCCCAAAGAAGCTGTGGCTGCCCCATCCCTGGCAGTGTTCAAGGCCAGGTTGGACGGGGCTTGGAGCAACCTGATCTAGTGGAAGGTGTCCCTGCCCATAGCAGGGGGTTGGAACTAGATGATCTTTAAAGTCCCTCCCAAATAACCATCACCTGCCTGTCCTGCCTGGGACTGTTTAGAGCTGTGGGGGTGAATTGTCCTGGCAGAGTCCAGCCCTGCTGGAAGCATCCATCCACCCACGAGGGACATGGAGGGAGGGGAAGTGGGAGCCCACACAGGGAGTGTGACTCAAAGCAGGATGCTGGGATTCGTGTGGGCTCTGGGTTTGTCCTCTGCTTGCTGTGGTGGTTCAGCTCTCCCCCAGTTCCCCTTTCAGCCTGGAGCTCCCGGTCCCGAGTTCCCATTAACACAAACCTGCACTGGGATGATCCCAGCAGGGCCCTGTCACAGCCTGGACCCCAAACATCCCTGGGAGGGTGACCTTATGCTCAGTGAGCTCAGTCTGGGGCGTGCTGGCTGGGTCAGAGCCTCCAGCCAGGGAGCACAGGGGCTCAGGGACACCATACTTGTGCCACATGGGCTGCACGTGGGCAGCCGCCAGCGGGTCCCTGTGCTGGATCTGGGGCTGCGGCTGGCCAAACCCACAGGGAATAACCCCAATAGGAATTACCCTGAAATCCTGCCAAGAGGTTGTCAACCCTAACCCAAAAGCATCCTGGGTTGTGCTGGGGGAGCACTGAGGCTTACGACCGCTCCGCAGCAGCTCCCGCTGCCCGCACCGCCGGGCTTACGCACGTGCTCGCAGCCAGGGAGCGGGACAGAAGGGCTTTATTTCAGCTCCTCACCCTGGTCCTGCTGTGTCCCCCCCACAATGAATGCTGCCCTTGTTCGGCACCGGGCACGCCTGAAAAAAAAAGCCCTCCGGACCCGTGCCCTCCTGCCCGGGTGCAGGCCAGGCCGTGGTGTGACAGAAACCCCCCAGCGCTGCCAAAGTGCAAAGCGAGGCCGGTCGCCAGCCCGGGGCTCTTGTTTGCCGGGGCACACAAACCCGCCCTGTCTTCAGTGGGAGATGTTGCATCACTAATTCACAAATGAGGCCCCTGTGCTTGGCACGGCCACTCCTGCAGCCAGCGGTGCTCTGGCCCGGAGCTGTCTGGGACAACCCCTTTCCATTTGGATCAGTATTTCTATTTGTTGATGAGAATTTCCCTTTTCTCAGTGAGTCAAGAATCATAGAATCAATAGGTTGGAAGAGAACTTTAAGATCATCAAATCCAACCATTA